CTTGCACTTGGCCTTGCTGAACTTCATGTGGCCAGATGAACGTTGCTGGAACTCAGCTAATTACAGTGATGAGCTCTCCAGTGACTTCAAATAGAATTAAGACAACTAAGTCAGCTAGGGATGCTGGCACTGTAAAACATCCACATTTAGGTTATTAACCAGGTACATTGACTTCTCCGACGTTCCAGGAACAGGATTTCTCTCAGGTCGAGAAGCCAGTTTAAATATCTAAAGCACTTTCACTCAAGCAAACTGAAGATTAATTCTATTTTTCCCCCCGTGTGTTTCTTTTACGTACAGTTGCAGATTGTAACAGATGACCACTTGGGAAACCGATAGGAATATTTTACAGAGGTTGCTGGGGGTTTTTTATATATTTTTTTTTCTTAAATTTACCTTCTAGAAGAACGCTAACCAAAGGAGTGCGGTCACTGTTCTTAGTTTGCTGAACAAGCAGCTCTCCATCATCCAATACCCTTGTTACTGGATCACCCCACTTAATAATACCGTTCATGATATAGCTTGCATAGTCTTCCTGATTGGTTCCAAACGCCTGTATTAAGAGAGGAAACAGTTATTTGACCAAGAAATTTTGCATCACATCAGAAAAACATGACACAAATGAACATCAGCACAGTGACTAGGACCAAGACTCTGGAAGATGCTTGAGTCAGACAGTCAGTACCAGAAGACTCGTCGGTGACACATAACATTTCAGTTCAGACTGAGCACTGTTGGAGACTGTGAACATTTAGAAATATCTTTTCATATAACCTCAAAACAAATTCTAAACAGTGCAAGTTGTCAATAGGTTCTGAATTTATGTAATTTAAAGACAATTCTCAAAAACGAGGCTTAAATCTCCTATCACAGTCCATAGTAAAGCTGTCATCCATCAACTGAAGTGGCCTAAAAGGGAAAGTGTACATATGACAAGAAAAGAAATGCCAAGTTGCTCTCTTTATTTGTTCTATCCTTTTTATGACTTGCATGCAACGAAAGGCACACACCAGAGCCTTAGCACTGCTCCCTGCTCCCATTCCTGTAACACAGGACACAGTAGGTCAGCCCATGGCGTACCATCGCGTGTCTGACCCCAGAAGGATGTTGCTACCTCATGTCATTAACTGTACTGGGTGACCATTACAGCAGTTACACAGTGCCCACTTACTGGTTTGATATCATTCTCCAAAGACGCAAAGAAGTCTCCTCTCGTCACACGCAAGCTCTCTGCCTTCTCCATATCCACTTCGACCTTGTTGCTGGCCTAAAAAAAAGGGAACAGAAGACACTGAAGTACAATAGTACCACACACAACCCCTTATCAACTTCCATCCACAGACCCAACCCTGCAGTTGGTCTGCATCAGTAAGAAAAATGCTTCTTAACAAGACATTTGTTGGGCATGTGCTGGATGCCACCGGAATAATCATCATCTTCAGAGCCACATCCACAAGCCAGCTCCACAAAGTCATTAAATAACAGTTGTTCCACTCCACTGGGTGGAAAGCTGAAGTGAAGAGTATGGTCATGACCCCACATTTCAGATAAGCCACTCCTGCTAAGAGCAGGATGGAAGCTCTGCACCATCCTTGCTGCTGCTGTGCTACCTTGACTACACAAACCAAGTGTCAGTGAGGCTGACTGGTGCCCAGTGTGGGACTGATCTCACCTAAGCTTAAATTTCTAAAAGTTATTGGAGTTACGTAGGTTCCCTTTACAGTAGGGAACTACTCTTTGCATTTAGAGGCTGTAGAAAAAATTCTTTGTTATTGTTTCTGGGTGCTGGATGGGAAGGGGATGAAGCCTCCTTCATTATGCGCCTTTTTTCAGAAAGACAAAGTAAATTTGGTTTAACCCAATTCTGAATCTACCCGCTCCATCTTTGCAACTGAGCCGAAAATAAGAACTATTCTCACGCCTCTACGTCAGGAGGTTTTAGTTTTCTGTTCAGACCGTGCACTTGCCTCTCCGTACGAGAAAGTGTTTCAGGCGCTGGCAAATATCAGATTTCTTTCTGCTTTGTCTTTATTTGCTTCAGGTCAACCAAAGCCATGAGTCTTCTGAAGGCAGCGCCATCGGTACTACTTGGAATAAATAAGCTGCAGTTAGCTCAGCTCATATTGCACTCCTGTTCTAAATGAAAGGCACCACCTTTTTCCCCTTCTGCCATCCCCAAATCGCCCAGCAACGTTTAAAATTAAAAGACTGGAAGCAAAGACACAGCAGACAGCTGCAATCTTCTGTAAATCGCTCCTCACTCACAACCAGAGGGAGCACCAGGAGGTGGCCCAAAGCTACTCGTACTGAAGCCAGAAGAGGTTTTTAACTCTTGAGAACAACTTGAGAGTGCCTTTCAAAGCTGGAGACTTCCTCCCGATGCCTGTCGGCTTTCAACCCAGCTGCAGATGTGTTCCTGAGTACGGCTGCAGCTCCGCAACATGGAGCGGCTCCGCTTACCAGGATTATTTGTACATCTGCAAGGACATTGATTGCCTTGGGCAGCAATCAGGAATTAAAGGGATTGGAAGCACCTTTTCCACTCAACAGCATGCAAACCCTGGCTATTAGGTGCTAATCCTGTGGGTGCAGTCTGCTGAGGATCCTGAGTGGAGTCAGAGAGATCAGAAAAAGGATGAGTCCCAAGAGAGGGCAGAAGTTGATGTGTGAAAAGCAACCCATCTAACCGTACGGGGTAAGGCAGAAGCCTATTTTTATGTAACATAGAGATGAGGCAAAAGGTCCTCATTCTTTCCCACCAAAGTGCAGCCTTGAAAGGCTTTTGATAATTTCTGAATTTCCTAATTACACCATAACAAATTTCTCTACACTCCAAAACAGGTATAATTTTCACCGAAAGTTACTCCAGTCTTACAAATCCACGTGCTTCTACCTAAGAGTATAACAGCCCTACACAATCTGATAGCTCAAGAGGTAAAAACTTGGGATTTCAAGGAGTCTCTTGGAAGGCACAGCAACCTCCATCACCTTTGCCTAAGACCAAGGTGATGGACGAGTCAAATAACTCTGACCCTCAAAGACGTGTCTCAGAGGCATCCTCTTCTGAACAAGATGATCTACAAGAACAGGGAGTACACTTGAGTACAGGAAGGAAAAAATAATCTTTAAAAAATAAATCAATCAATCCCATTCTGCTTGTCTTGCAGAGTAGCAAATGCAGCCTCTCGAGAGCACGCAGAGGAACCCAGAGCACCGTGCCAAACCAGTAACTGTAACCAGAGGATGGCTGAAACAACACCAGTCCCTTCTCACCCACCAAGCAGAAAGACAGGACGCCAAATACACCGAACCGGTGATGTTTAGCACGGGCTGATCACTCTTCTACCTTGCAGAGAGAAGTGAAGGTACTTGAAACACTATTACTGTATTCCTGAAGTTGTTTGCACACTTGAAAACGGGGGTTTCTTTCTTTCCGAGCCTTTAATGAGTTCCACATTTTAATTTTTAACACACACACACTTTGAGAGATTACCAGAAGAGTTTAAAAGATTCAGAAGAATAATGTCACCTGATTTTCAATTTGTGCTCTTGCTTTTCATGGGTGCTTCAGAAAACTAGGTCAGGCCTATGATGTATATTTTAAATTTTGCAGTACTTGTAGGAGAGAATAAAATACCTTAGTGCATCATTTGGCTGAAGACACTTTCAGAATAAACAATAAGATTATCCAAAAACACTATGTCAAAGTGTTTGAAAAGGAAAAGAAAGCGTGGCCACTTCACATTTGGAATATGCACACATATACATATAATTATACATATAATTAAGATGTTAATCACATACCAGCTTAAAGGAGGGGGCTGCTCTTTTACATTTCAGCATTGCCATTTTCTCTTCTCCCCTTGTGACATTTCAGCACAACAGGGAATGTATCAAAACACTAATGGCCCCCAAACTCACCCAAAATTCAAGGATTGAAAAAACATCAACTATAAGCAAAATTAATTATTTAAGGAAAAGGTTTTGCTTGTGAATGGATGAAAATGCCTCCAGAGGTGCTGATTTTTTTTTTTTTTTGAGACAGAACACGAGAAAATTAGAAACTGTTGATGTCTGTGGTTTTTTGCTATGGAAAGCAATTAATAGCTTTTCAAGTATTGTGGCTATAAAAGAAAAATTAGCAGGAAGAGTCATTATTCCTTTAGAAAGAGTGCTCCCAAGAGATATAAAGTCTAAGCAACCAAATGATTAATGATTAAATAAAAACACGATTCGCTTTTTTCATATTTGAGGCTGAACAGATTTTTTTACTTAAAAATATAGAAGTGCTGTGGAGCTGAAGTCAAAGGCTTTTCTCGGCAGTAATTCCCACCAATTCTTGGCCACTAGAGCAAAAGGGCCGTGTCTTTCAGCCTCCTCTTCACAAACTCATCACCTCATATTTCAACACCATCGAATACCGCGGTCTGCATCTGGATTAATGTAACCTGACATTTCACGGTCCTTAACTCCTTCCCAGTTACAGACACACTGACCTCCCATCACGAGCAATCACTGGGAAAGCAACGCAGTGCTCCTCTAGAATGGAGGGAGCTGAGAACGTCACGAGTCTCTATGGACAGTGAGATGACATCAAGTGAGTTATGGGAAACGGAAAACATCGTACGAGCCCCTTTTGAATTTGACGAGGATTTTAGCATCATCTTGGAGCAAAGGCTCCTTCCACTGCTTGCACGCTTCTTCACACAACGCACGCCTGCTGCTTGCAGTGAGCACGGCCCTGCTGGCATCACCTGCTGTTCTTTGAGCTCTTGTGTGAGGAAAGAGCAAACAGTCCTTCCCCGTTCACTGATCCCAGTCCACTCATCGTTTCACATACTTGTCATAACCCTTCACCGTATTTTTTTCGGGCTCGGAAATCCTAGTCTAATCATTCTTCCAATGAAAGCCCTCCTACACCTCTGACCTCCCTGCTGCCTTTCCGTATCCTGGTTCTACCACAACCATCTCAAGGTCGGTGTTCCAGGACCGCACAGATTCAAAGGTACCAGGGATTTTATCCATGACAATCACAGCCTCACTTCTGCTCTGCGTACCTCTCCCAGGAAATCCTAATGCTGCATTTGCTTTTTTCACCGACAAGGACTGAGCTGGTATTTCAAGATTATTATAACTCCAAAGAACTTGACCCCAAGTAACAGTCAGGTCAGTCCCTATCACTGCTTACACCTTTTTGAATTTTCTCTCCCCATTGTACACTTGCATTCACCGCCTACACCTTGTGCTCTCCCATAATTTCAAATGCCTTCTGCAGTTTTCCACAGGTGGCCTTCATCTTTACGACCACAGAACAGCTCTGAGCTTGTAACCTCTCTTTTCCCCCCCCTCTTTACGGATCATTTACGAAGACATTGAGCTGCACAGGCTCCAGCAGAGATCCCTCCCATACGACTGACTGGCTGTTCTCATCTCCACCTCTTGTCTCCAGAGTCCTACCCATAAACTAAGCCCAAGACTTTCCTTTCAATTTTTATCACAACACATTGACAAACAACCACGGAGCTACGCAAGAGCCGCTCGGAGGTCTGGAGATGAAAGAGGTAATTCAGAACCGTGTAAAAGCACAGTGAAGAGGTGGTGTCCATACGAATTTCACCTCCTGAGCTCTGCCGAGACACCTTGACCCGTTTGGAAGTAAACATTCAAGAAAAGACTTCAATTATTTTCCCTTTTTTGCCCCAGTGAGAGACGACGGGACTGACCTTAATGTGTCTGTTCATCGCAGTAGACTGAGCAGCTCGAACTAAACCTTCTAATTCAGCACCACTGAAGTTTTTAGTCTCAACTGCCAGTTCTGCAATGTCCACATCTTCAGCCAGCAGCTGGTGCTCCCGCATCCGTACCGTGTGGATGTGAAGAATCTGAAACCGACCCTTCTCGTCCGGCAAGCCTGAGATTTTAAACAGACCACGTGTCATTCAGTGCCTCAGCACAGCGACTGCAGCAAAGCCTTCCCCTCTTCTCAGTGGTCCTACCTCCAAAGGCTCTTTCTCACCATGAGCAATTAATTCTTATTAGCAGAATATTTGACAATGCTTTTGTTTGAGATCATTCCATTACACTCATTGCCCTCGGCAAATTCATCAGCATCACCGCTAAACTAGAGAGAAAAGTGTAATGGTTGGTTTCTTTCCTCAGGGTTCCTCCAAGTTGGCTGGTCCTTATGCATCCATACCAGGAATTCACCTTACACAAAGGTCATCTGGTCAGTGCCTTGGCAGCCCTAAACCCAGTTCCCACCTTGCAATTACCACAGAATTGCAAAATTGTCAGATAGTTTGTCACCATCTGTCACCAAATGCAGTTGCTCGAAGCCCCGATCAACCTGACCTTCAACATTCCCACCGACAAGGCACTCACAGCTTCTCTGGGCAACCTGGTCCAGTGTCTCCCCACCCTCATCATAAAACATTCCTTCCTTATATTCAATCTAAACCTGCCCTCTTTCTGGTTAAAAACATCACCCTTGTCCTGTCACCACAGGCCCTGGTAAAGCCCCTCTCCCAGCTTTAAGTAGCCCCTTAAGCACTGGAAGGTGCTGGAAGGTCTCCCCGGAGCCTTCTCTTCTCCAGGCTGAACAGCCCCAACTCTCCCAGCCTGTCTCCAGAGCAGAGGTGCTCCAGCCCTCTGACCATTTCTGTGGCTTCCTCTAGAGATGCTCCAACAGGTCCATGTCTTTCTTGTGCTGGGGACCCCAGAGCTGGACACAGTGCTCCGGGGGGCATCTCACGAGAGCAGTGCAGTGGGAGAGAATCACTGCCCTCGACCTGCTGGCCACAGCTCTTGATGCAGCCCAGGATACGATTGGCTTTCTGGGATGCAAGCACACGTTGCTGTCTGACATTCAATTTTTTAACCACCAGTATCCCCAAATCCTTGTCCGCAGGGCTGTTCTCAATCCATCCATCCCCCAGTCTGTACTGATGTTGGGAACTGTCCTGACATTGACCCATTGACTGTAACTCTTTGGACATGGCCATCCAGCCAGTTCCTTACCCATCTAACGGTCCATCTACCAAACTCCTCTCTCTCCAGTTTAGTGGCAAGAATGTTGTGGGGGACCTTACCAAAAGCCCTACAGAAGTCAAGGTAAATGACATCTATAGCTCGTCCCTCACCCACCAACGCAGTCACTCCACCACAGAAGGCCACTAGATTAGCCAGGCACAATCTGCCCTCTGTGAAGCCATGGGGGTAGTCTCTAATGACCTCCTTATCTTCCACATGTTTTGACATATCTTCCAGGAGGATCTGTTTCATGATCTTATTGGACACTAAGGTGAGGCTACCTGGTCAGTAGTTCCCAGAGTACACCTTGTTACTCTTTAAAATGGGTGCAATATTCCCTTTTCTCCAGTCACTATGGACTTTGCCTGAGTGCCATGACTTTTCAAATATGATGGAGAGTAGCTGAGCAACTACATCAATCAATTCCCTCAAGACCCTGGGATGCACCTTGTTGGGTCCCATGGACTTGCGTATGTTCACGTTCCTCGGGTGGTCTCAAAACTGATCTTCTCTTACAACAGCAGGGACTGCATTTCCCTAAACCCTGCCTTGAGGTTCAGGGACTTGAGAGATGCGGGAAGAGCGATCACCAGTGAAAACTGAGGGGAAAATATTGTTGAATACCTCAGCCTTTTCTGTCAGTTGTCACTAGTTCTCTTGTCTACTTATCAGGGAGGACGGGGATACACATTTTCTTTAGTTTTCCTTTTCTGGCCAACGCACCTTCTTATTACTCTTCACATCCCTTGCCAAATTCAGCTCTAACTGTGCCTCAGCCTTCCTGATCCACCCCCACACATCCAGGCAGAGCCCCTGTATTCTTCCCAAGACACATGTCCCTGGTTCCACTGCCTGTGCCTTTCCTTCTTACACTTCAGTTTGACCAGGAGGTCCTTACTGACCCATGCTGGCCTCCTGCCTTCCTTTCACAATTTCTTACACGCAGGAATCGAGCTCTTGAGTGCTAAGAAAAACATCCTTAAAGAGCTGCCAGCTCTGTTCTGCTCCTTTATCCCCGAGGGCAGTTTCCCAGGGGGTCCCATCCTTATTAACCACCTGAAAGTTCGCTCTACTACAATTCAGGGTCTTGACTTCACTCTTCACCTGGCCCGTACCATTCTCATACAACGTTCATCTTCGAATGAGATGATAATTTCCCAGTTTGCACCTTAGCAAGACCCTTCTAAAACGCATGTAACGGGAGAGACACAAAAGCCTTTTCTTAAAAGAAAGCACAAGCCAGTCTGGCACATCATCCTCTTGGTAACACCACGTGGTTCTTCAGCTCACTTTCCAACCTGCCTTCACAGCCTTTACAAGGATCTGATAATTTGCACTGGTTAGTACTTGTGCACAGGGGATGTGAAAAGGCATTTTAAAACATTTAGAGCCCCCAGCTGTGCTCACTCCTTCTCATCTGACAATTTCTTCTAGGGATGCCTTGCTCAGCTCCTGAAATTTATTTCATTTCATTAACTTTCGTCAAACAACAATGCAGGTGCTACACCTGCAGTACACTCAACCTCATCTGTGTTTACTAACACCAGTTCAACAGTTGCTATCAGGCGTTTGCTTTCAAGCATGAGATTGTTCAAAGGCAACTGCCACTGTGGTCACACTTCTTCGTCCCTAAAATTCTTTACTCAATTTTCCTTTTTTGTGTATTAGGCCTGGAACAGACACGAGTCTCTTTCAGTAGAGACTGTGTCCAAAGAAAGCCTACGGAAATGGTGAAGGGTTTAGAGCATAAGTCTCATGAGGAGCAGCTGAGGGAAATGGGATTGTTTAGCCTGGAGAAAAGGAGGCTGAGGGGAGACCTTATTGATCCCTACAGCTATCTGAAAGGTGGTTGTAGTGAGGTGGAGGTTGGTCTCTTCTCCCAAGTAACAAGCAAAAGGACAAGAGGAAATGGCCTCAAGTGGAACCAGGAGAGGTTAAGATTGGATATTAGGAAAGATTTCTTCGCCAAAAGGGTTGTCAAGCACTGGCGCAGGCTGCCCAGGGAAGTGGTGGGGTCACCATCCCTGGAGGTACTTAAAAGACATGTAGATGTGACACTTAGGGACACGGTTTAGCAGTGGACCTGGCAGCATTAGGTTAATGGTTGGACTCAATCTTTGAGATCTCTTCCAACCTAAACAATTCCATGATTCTAATATTTTTTCCTGCATCTAACGAATGTCTAAGTCTCTTACGTCTCCAGCATATTTGAAACCTTTCGTGCTGTGTGTGCTGCACAGCCAGTGCTCCAGCTGCATCTCCAGCCCTCGCACCCTGCACGAGCTACACGCACCGTCATGCCTGGCAGAAACTGCCTCCTGCAGGGCTCAGGGACGGCATTAACTCCGGGGCATCAGCTCCCTGCCCGGGTCACCTCTGCAGCTGCCTCCGTAGTCATCAGCTTTGCTTCCTCATTCCTTCTTGTCCTGGTCTCAGCTGGGACAGAGTTAGTTCTTTTTAGCAGCCAGAATTGCTCCGTGCTTTGGGTTGAGTCCGGGACTCGTTACGAGAAGAATGTTGATAGCACACTCATGTTTGTAGTTGGCACTGAGGCCTCAAGGACTTTCCAGCTGCCGTGTTCTTACCAGTGAGCAGGAGCACAACAGGACAAGGGGGAGCATGGCTGGGACACAGGGTCCATGACTGCCCTTAGGATTTGTACTTAGACTTAGGATTGAGGCCAAACTGGCCAACAAAGCATTCCATATCATGCAGCGTCATGCCCAGTATAAAAATGAGGGTCAGCTGGAAAGAAGGGCCTTTGCTCTTCAGGGCTCTGACTCTCAGAGTGCTCTGTCTCTCTCTCTCTCTCTCTCAGGCCCCTCATTCATCCAAGATGGTGGTGTAGAGACTTATCTTTTCGGGATGATTAGTCCGGGACAGGACAGGTCTTGGTCACCGGGTGGTGAGCAATTGCACTGTGCATCACTCATTTGTAGATGTATTTATCATGGTACATATATATATCTCCATATATTAGTAGCAGTATCAAATTGTTCTTATCCCAACCCACGGGTCTCTCTCCCTTTTCCCCTTTAATTCTCTTCCCCATCCCCAGGGGGTGGGGGAGAGGGAGCGAGCGGCTGTGTGGTGTTTAGTTGCCGTCCAGGCTAAACCACGACCTTCTTTTGCCTAAAATCTTCCCTTTTCAGCTACCAAAAGAACTCTTCCTGTTTCTGGCTCTTTCAAAGAGTGACGTTGCCCTTCAAGGATAAGAGGAAGAAGTCCCTAGCGAGCTCTGAAGATTACAGCTACAGATCAGACTCCAAGAGATCCCCCACGGTTCAGAGCAGCCACCCTAGTATGACACCGCGTGGTTTGTAGGGTTATAAGGACATTTTCTTCTAATTTTCTGCAACTGAAAGAAAAGACCATAGTAACACACATGTCCTTGCCTGTTGCTTTTTTGTGACTCACTACAGTTTGAGAATTTTTACCTTTGCAATAAGAAAATAGAGCATAGAAAATATTTTGTGACATTTGTATGTCTGTGGAAGGTTAGGGGGAAATCTTTTACGAGCTCTTCCAAGCTATGCATCTGAAACTGCATCTCCAATCTTTAAATTAAACATGGATCTCACCCAATTTGAGTCTCTCACTGCAAGACAGGATCATTAAGCTTTTAATCAGTCCCAGGCTATTCTCTACTCAAACTTTCTCCTGTGAAATGTTGAACTCAGCACTGAGCACCGCAGTCTAGTCACCCTTTAGACTCCACTGTGATGTTTCCTCATCAAACTTTTGATTGCAAATGCGAAGTCAGAGACTTTTTTTCACGAATCTAAGATGATTTGGGCTTAATTTCTTAATAAATCCTTCACTATCTCCTATTCCACTATTTAATCTGCATTGGTGTCAGGCAGACGTGTACAATTACAAAAGTTCCTTTTAAGTTGCTGACACAGAATGTTCTTTTCCAGCTCCCTAGAACAAATGGCTAATAGAGCTCTTCAGCCCACTTTTAGTTCTGGTGGTGCAAGAAATCCAGACCTGCCGATCTCAGGAGCCAATGGCCAATGCTATGGAACGTTTGCAGCTCCTGCAGTGAAGGTCACCATTACCACTTCACGCACATGAAATGATCTGCACCTCCTCCCTGTGGAGAATTGCTCACACACTGTACTTGCCTGCTCTACAAGTTCAACAGTTCCACAATTTCCACCTGGGAATGATCTGGTGCCGTTACTTGGCTCCCTTCGTTCATGCAAGAGATTCAGGGTCCTGCCTGCCCGTACCCATTCATTCTGCTGGACAGAAACTGATATCAGGTCAATGGCTTATCAGTAGGTAAGTCTAAAATGGCATTTTAATTGGCTGATTAAATTTACATGTAATATTACAGAGGCAGCTGCAGGAAGTTTAGCACCTGTGCCATCACGTTATCACATATATTTGCTTTATTACTGTAAGCACAGGTGAGCTTGCATGCTGCAGTGTGCTAACGTGCTTACCAATCTCCATTTTCACCTCCAGCCTTCCCGGTCTCAGCAGAGCCTCATCAATCAGGTCAGGTCTGTTGGTCATTCCTAAATTCAAAGTTAAAAACAAAATAAGCATTATCTGAGCTCACTAAGCAGGTCTCTGACTCCTGAATACAGCCCATTGAGCTAAGAAGATACCTCAAAGAGTGTCAAGAAAACAGACAAAAGATATCTATCTCCAGAATTATTAGAAAATTCATGCCCCAAAGCAGAGTCAGGGCAATAGGGATCAAATCTGTACTTGTGACTGTATCTGCAAGGCTCCCAGCACCACAACTGGACAACATGGCTAGAGAAGCACCACTCCTTCATCTGCTGATACACCAATGCGTGTCACTCCTTCCAAGTTTTCTTCAACTACGAAACACTTGTTATCAAAAGCTAAAGGAGGAAATTGTTGAAAGCAGCAATATCAGCCAATTACAGCACCATCTCGCTTTAAATCTGCTACTGGTGCTGGTTAAATAAAAGTTGTTCAGTTTGGGTTAGTCAAAACAGATCCAATACCAGTAATGATAACTCAGTCGACCTGCAGCGAGCAAAATATCAGCAGTTTTCAACCAGACCCCATAACAGAGAAAGTAAGCACCATCATACCAATCACTAGGATGTTGTTGAGCTGCTCTACTCCATCAATTTTAGACAGCAACTGGTTTACAACAGTATCGTGGACGCCAGTGCTACCCGCCATGCTTCCTCTCTGCTTGCAGATTGCATCAATCTCATCAAAAATGATGATATGCACGCCGCTGTTTGCTCCAAGCTATTGGGGAGAAAAACATGTCAGGAACGCCACATGTCATCAGTGAAAGCAATCCAAAAAAAACAGCAACCTCTCAACAAGCTCAGCCGCAGAGATACACAACACTGATACCTCCAAGAGGTTTTAGTATCACGCGTTAGGTATCGGACCCCTCTCAGAAGAATAACATCTTGCCATCCTCCCAAATGGGGTGGTTGGTGGACTTTGCCCAAAAATAGGACTTCACAGCTGACATTGGTAAGAGAAGCAGCGTTTCAAGGAGAAGGACTAGACTGAACAAGAAAAGCACAAGGCCAAAGCTGGAACACGCAGCTCAGCAAAGGGTCACAGTACTCAGCATCTGGGAAAGTCCTCTGAAAGGGAGATGGAGAAAAAAGCAAATCTGTGGAGGGAAGCACCCAATGTGGGAAATACCCCAGGTGGTACTAAAGTTGGTAACCACACAGCTTGCCAGAGTAGCTTTGTTCTTAACATTTTTAAGGAGTCCATTCGTCCAGTGCCAGTCAGGAACAGAACTGCTTATTTCCAGGTTCACTCAAAGGTGAAGCGGTTGCAGCTGGTAAGAGAACAGGATACTTTTTGTGACTGTATTATGAAGCTTTTTCCCTTCAAATTCCACCTCTAAAACATCTTTTGTGGACAGTGGAGACCATGTTAACACTGGGTAAATGTGCTGTCACTGGCAACCTGCCCCAGACACAAGTCATTACAATGCCAACCTTTCCGAGACCTTTTTAATCTCGCAGCTTGTCATCAGGACCGTCCCCTCCAGCCAATATAAAGTCTATTTTAACAGGTGTGTTATTGCAAAGGAAAAGCAGCTCATGGCTCTCAGTAATATTGCAACAACCAGAGAGGAGGAGACTGTTTATATCGGTACGTGCTCCCATGCAAAGCTGACTTAGTGACTAACAAATCTTTGTGCAGAAGAAAATTCAATGATTTCAAGCCACTAGCAAAATCTGCAGTCTTGTCAGGCGTAAATAAAATTAGGGGATACAGTGTCCTTTGCCAATGTTTTCTGAAAAGACTTCCCTATATTTATTTGTGACTTGTCTGAAATTATATTTTCTTTACCAGAAAGTCTTATCAAGATTAAGTGATCCACAGCCGAGAACAATTACCACAGCACACATGTAATAAGTGTTGACACCATCAAGCTAAAGACTGGGGTTTGGTACCCAGCTAAAGTAATGGATAAAAAAAAGAAAGTTGGGAAAAACCAGAATCTTTATCTCCACTTCCAGTTTCAAAGATCTATACTCTCTAGTTTTCAGACACTATTATCATCCATCAGCGTTCTGCTGAGAAAAATGAATGATGTATCAATTATAGCACTCCAAGGATTATCATTTATACTAATAAGCCCGTAACCCAAAAACCTGAGACCACGGAAGCACATTTGAAATTCGTCCTATGTAATGTGCCACCTGAATTTGGCAGCAAAAATCCAGATAAATTAATTATGTCTCCTCCCACAAAAAAAAAAAAGGAGAAAAGAAAAAACAGAGCAAAATTTTTGCAACCTCATTTTTTCAGGGCTTTCTGACCAGGTGACACACCACATAACTCACAGCACGACAGGATGGGCCATACTGTATTACATTAAAATAACTGCATGGAATTTAAACAAACGATCTTGAGCACAGCTAGCTAGAAAACCCGCCACCTTTTCATGTTCTAAGAATGTTTTCCAAGTGTGTGAATCTGTGGAACACTGATATTCAGTGACTGGCACGGAGGAACTATCATGGCAAGCTGAGCAGTGACTCAGTCTTTTAACGCAAGCAGCAATTTTCTGATGATAAACTTCCTTTCTGGCCATTCTTTAGGCAAATTCTCACTGACCACGCTCTTCATCTATGTCTGCATTACCCTTCTTTGCTCCTCTTCTGCATCAGCAAACAGCTTGCGGATGTTGGCCTCGGATTCGCCCACGTACTTGTTGAGGATTTCTGGCCCGTTGACCACCTTGGGTTCCCTGGCGTTGAGCATCTTGCCGATCTGCCTGGCCATCAGCGTTTTGCCGCAGCCTGGGGGGCCGTACAAGAGAATGCCCTTCACGTGCTTGCAGCCTGCAACGAGACAGCACGGGTTTGGGAAGCAGGCTCACGATGGAAACAGGAAAGGAGTAAAGAGGGAACTGCTGGTTATTCCAGGGATCTGGTGGCAATGTGCGTTAGCTTGAGCTCTGCTCGGTGCCTTCGGCAGGGAAATTCAAACACGGAATTGTCAGACTGCGTCAGAGTCGTTCCAATCATCTGGCAAAGGCAAAGAAAAATAACCCCTAGAACAGCACAAACGCTCTCCCATGCGCCAGGGATGCCAAGCGGATAGCGAAGGACTGGAAGCCTGAATTGTAACTTCTGGTGAGTGGTATAAAGCAACAGAGATCACTCAGTAAACAGGTGAATAACACACTTTTCAGTTCAGCAAAACCCAAGATCAGGTCCTAAGGATGCTGATCATCTGACTCTGACCTGGAGCACCTCTGCTGTAGAGACAGGCTGAGAGAGTCGGGGCTGTTCAGCCTGGAGAAGAGAAGGCTCCAGGGAGACCTTCCAGCACCTTCCAGTGCCTCAAGGGGCTACAGGAAAGCTGGAGAGGGGCTTTGGACAAGGGCGTGGAGTGACAGGACACGGGGCAATGGCTTTAATCTGAAAGATGGGAGATTTTGATGGGATCTAAGGAAGAAATTCTTCCCTCTGAGGGTGCTGAGGCACTGGACCAGGTTGCCCAGAGAAGCTGTGGCTGCCCCATCCCTGGCAGTGTTCAAGGCCAGGCTGGATGGGGCTTTGAGCAACCTGGTGTAGTGGAGGGTGTCCCTGCCCATGGCAGGGGGGTTGGAACCGGATGGTCTTTGAGGTCCCTTCTAACTCAAATCATTCTATGATCATTCCCAGGTAGCAAGAGGCTGCAGATAATTTTTTTTTTTTTTACATCACCACACACCCTGAACACCAAGCAAAGATGTATTAGCAATTCAGGTCAAGCATTTACTGCGTCTGGCTCATTTTTCTCTTCTAGAGGGACACACAGCGTCTACAAAGGTAGCCTTCCTTCATGGAAGAGTTTCAACTGAGTTTAATTTTCAGGCACATGAGGAAAATGAAGCATCAGACCCTCAAAGTTCCTCAACTGATGGTGAGCTCCCAGCGTAGACATTGATCAAACACATTAATCTGCTTCTTGAAAGAGAAAATGAGGAATATCACGTAAAAATGCGTAACTTTTTACCCCTGTATAACATATCTAGTTCTGATTCCAAGGTTATAGGAAAAATATTGAGAAAACTGAAAAAGGCTTCTAAGAACCACCAAATCAAAAAGCTTGACCTCTAAGACCATCTTGGCCACATAGAGCACCAACAAGTTGACCATGTCCTGCATCTACTGCCCTTCCTCTCCAGTACTAACTCACTCACATCACTGCCTTCTCAGCGACCAGACCGGTGAGACATCCCAAGGAAAGACACCTTGAGGAAGATGTAAGTACTGTAGTCTATGGGAAAACAGCACATTTGGAATCTGTCTCGACAAAAATCTCGACTTTGAACACAAGTGTTTCCTTACAGAGGTGGGGAATTCAGTAGCACCTTCTCCTTTTCTTTTGCTCCATCTCACTGCTGCACAAAATCCCTACACATGTGCTCCAGACAAGTGAGGAACACAAGACACCACTATATTTGAAGATAAAAAACCCTACATTTTAGGAAAATGTATCTAAACCCTTAGAAATCTTCATGTATTAATTGTTTGAGGCAAAAAAAGGTAACGCATTAATTAGTGGAAACTGTTCCATGCTGTAGATGATGTTTTTATACTACATCCTCGCAGTTTGAGTTTTCTAGAGATGCAAACCATCCAACGAGAGTCCTGCAGTGCTTAACACTCACATTAAAAGCAAAAAAAAAAAAAAATTTTAAAAAAAGCAAATGGCACAGAGCTCAGACGCAGAGGGCATGAGTTCAGTTTCTACCATCATCAAAGGTTTAATGAGCTTGGGCACATCAAGTTATTTGTCGCCCACATGGAATGACTTCCCTTCTGGTTTCCAGCTTGTCTCAGCTACGTGGCAAGTTCACCCCAACAACAGAGTCCTCACAGCAACGTTCTGACTTCAAACAACAAACACTTTATCAACTTACCGATGCTCAACTGTGATTTCATTTGCTCCTGAATATTATGAAGAATTAATTTCAATCTGAATAATTGCTCGATACCAAATAATTTCTGTTACTGGCATGCACTGCTCTTTCTCTCACGTTGTTCCCACACTGGAATGAAATTTCAGAACATTGCTATGAGGTTCACCTGACCCCTACCACAACGCCAGAGAGCAACAGTGCTGCACTGAATAAGCACAGTAATAAAGCTGAGAGATTTTTCTGGGCTTCTTTGCAGATAAAAAAATCACTACACAAATCGAGAGACCAAGCTAAGAATTCATTAGGCAACTCCCAGGCACCCAGGAGTCAAAACCATAAACAACATACGCCGTCAGCAACGGCAAATCTCCCCCCGAGCGAAGGAGGTGACTGAAAGCTCTCCTGCCAAAGCGGCGTCCCGAAAGGCACTGCCGGGGTGTCCGCGCAGGAACGCCGCCGCCTGCGCAGCCACGGCGCCCGCCGAGGGTGCTCGGAAGGGAGATGCCAGGGGAGATGCCAGGCACGCTGCACTGTGCCCGAGCAGAGCGGTAAGCCAGGGCACGTGTGCGCCAACGGGCCCGCCAGCGGCCTGAAGGAGGCAGGGAATTCTGCTGGGGAGTGTCGCTGTTCTCTAGGATGCTTTCAAAAACGAAACACGAAGAGCAGTCGGATCCTTTTTTTTTTTTTTTCCCCAGTTTTCCTGCAATTCGCCAGCTCTCTCCTAGAATGAGGTACAACCTCCTTATAGCCACTAGAAGCTTCTCTTCTACAGCCCAAAAAACTGAACTTCTTAAAGAGCCCGACTGTCCCCGTTCCCTGCACGAGCCACCGCAGCCTTGGCGAAGGGCTGAGGCTGGAACTCGCTGCACCTGCAGCCTCTTCTCCCGCGGCGGGAGCACACGGAAAGCCAAGACAAACCGGCACGGTCAGAGCCGGAGGGGTCTGCAGAAACAAGGCAGCCTCTGGAGAAATCTGCTTGGAAAGTCTCCGAGGGCTTTCACCCTCTTCCCAGTTGAAGTCGCCTATCATGAGAAAGCAACGTCTTATAAATAATTAAGGATGGCGGCTGCGGAAGAAAGAAGAGGAAGAGAGGAGAGGGAGGGGAAGAGGGGAGAGGGAGGGGAAGGGAGGAGAGGGAGGGGAAGAGGAAGTTCTCAGCTGTAACCATGCCATTAGCTACTCATCCCTCTAGAGCAGAAACGCCCTCTCCGGGACACAGCAGGTTCCCGGGGACAACCTGACCCAGCCAAGCCCAGCCAGCGTTGGGCTGTCCACACTCAGCCTCCAGCAAGTGACAACACGCCCGTGTGTTCCCGCAAATCCGCATGTCCAGGGCATCGCTGACCACCTGCCGCAAGGCCTGGTTGCCACCGACCAGGCACCACCAAGAGCTGGGCCGTGGGCAGGTGGAAGAACATTCCTGAAACCAAAGCAATTGGTTCCTCTCAAATAAAACTGCCACAAGCTACTCCAGCAGACATCTCCCTGTAGGGCTGCGTTCACCTGGCCAAAATTAAAGTTTTAAACACGAGCAGGACTTTATTAAAATAGACAGGTGATGACAAACCCGAAATGTTACGTCGCACGTCACGGTGGGATCCCACGCACCGCACAGGAATGCTGATTAAGTTTATCTGCTCTTTGCTGGTGTCACCAACGCAGCCCAAATGTCAATACCATTATGAGAAGCTTACAAACACGAGTTATCAGCAGCGCAGACATCCCTAACTCGTTAAGCTCACCGTCAGGACTCCAAATCAAAGGTCATTCCTGTAACGAGATACTTAATTATGCCATTTAATGACATACAGTTAGAAGCTGAAGAGGTACGTTAACAGGAACTAAAATACACCGATATGGGGAACATTCTACACGAAACATCAGGGAAAAAAAAAAAATCATAAAAACTGGTAAGAATGGGAGAGTTACCAGTGTTACCAAAAGAAACCAGACACTGTTTTGAACCAGAATAATCACTTACCCACAGACAAGAAAAAGTTTATTTGTTCAACTCTCACTATTCACTTTTTTTTTTTGAAAGATGAGAAGAAATGTTTTAGTATAACAGGGATTTTCTATTTGGGAGTGTAATTCCCCTTCTAATTAAAATCAAAGCATTCTGGTGTGATTGTATCACTGCGATGCACCTATCAGGAGTCTGCACCGACAGCAAAGTCCCATCCCCAGCACAGCAGGGGGAGATGCTTATCTGCACACATCAATCTTCCAGCAGGTTAGAGGAAGATCAGGGTTCCCAGCCTTCACCTGCCACACTGACAAAATTGCCCCAAAAATACGGTCGGGTGGAATTTCCCCCTTCTCTCATCCTGCACGCTCAGCATTACTCCAGCCCACATCGCTGCCTCCCGTTAGTCTTCCTGTGGGATTTACACGCTGCCGACAAAGAGCAAAACTGGAGCAACTTGTTCCTGCTCTGAATTCAAAGCCGAGACAGGCAAAAGGCTTCCCGAGAAATCCAAGTTTTCATTTGAAGCGGACTCTCAACAGCCAGTTTTCTCCATCTGTCAAATCCTTTGCCACCGTAACGGGAAGACAACCAAGGCAGCAGGTTCATCCCGCACCTTTGAAAGCAGCTTCCTCATCGTGTCCTCCCGGGCTGGAGAAGTTTGACGCACGCACACACAGGGAGGCAATAACCAGATTTATGGCCATGGCAGGACGTTTATCAGTTTCTGATGGAATGTGATAAAAACGAAAATAAATCAGCTTTCGAGAAGCTTCCAAGGGAATGCCTTTGGCTACACAGACAAAACTGACTCTCAGGAAAAGGGGTTTTGCTAAGAACATATCGAAACCAAACCAAACTTTAAAAGCAGTCATCGCTGCAGCAAAAAAAGAGTAAATGCCTCTGCCTCTTAAGAGAGGTGCCTGACAACTGTAGCTAATTTAAGACAAAGATTACGCAGA